TACAATATAATATAATATAATAAAATAAAATATAATATAGCATAATATAATATAATATAATATAATATAATATAATATAATATAATATAATATAATATAATATAATATAATATAATATAATATAAAGACATATAACCAAATATAATATAACAAAAATAAATAAATAAATATATATATATATATATATATATATATATGTATGGTCCTATGGAGGTTTAGGGTTGAAATGATGTCGACTACTATAGCATCCTGCAGGGACAGGGTAAGTCAGCGTGATTTTCAGGGATTTTGGGGTTCTATACGCGTTTAGGGTTTTTTGCCGAATAAGTTCCTTTAAGGATCTAAGGCATGTACGGTTTGGTCTAGGGTTTAAGGTTCCCTTAAAGCTTGGGGTCCACAAGGCTATAGTGCTTAGGGTACTATAGAAGCATGAATAATTAGGAACATGACTTGTGAGGGTACAGTATAACACTAAACCTTAAACACATCAATGTCACCGGTAGATACCCCAGCACCCTATCGCTTTACTTCCTGGGGTCTATAACGGTCCTGAAAGGGTCTTTATGAAATTTAGGGTTTAGTTTAGGGCTTTGGGTTTTGGCGTTTAGGGTGCCTGAAATGGTTTCATCGAGGGGCCTACAAGGGGCTCTGACTGTAAGGGTTCTCTAGGACATTCCGTTTCTTGCTTCAGGGTATTGGGCTGAGGGGCCTGAAAGAGGTTTCGGAAAGCCGTATATAGGGTTTAGGGTTTAGGATGAGTTATGTCATTGCGGTCATATATTGACCCAAACGGTAGTAACCCCAAGCTGATTGACCGTGGCAGTACCGTGGCTAATACGTCTGCGATGACCGCTCGGCACGATTCAGGAATTTGGCTCTGATCTTTGGTGGCTTGGTGATGGGTCGAGGTGATTCCAATGGATGATGTGCAAGTAGGTTCTCGGGCTAGCAGGTCGGAGTTTTGGCGATCCCAGGTGAGGCTTAGGGTTTAGGGTTTTGGGGTTTTGGGTTTAGGGCTTCTTCTTCTTTTGGGTTTGCTGCCGTAGACCTCGTAAGCGCGTCGAGCATGCTTTTGTGTAGTCTACAGGGGTTGAAGTTCCTGGAGAAGCCAATTGCGCACTTCAAGACTGCAGTGTTGCCTGCGCGCAGCGCGCCAATTCAGCTCAAAGCAACAGCAACATAGACCCAGAACCGCTCTTCGGTCCTTCTCGTGGCACCTTGGCTCCTGTTGAACAACTTTTTGCATGTTTATCAAGAAAGGGTTTAGGGTTTAGGGTTTTGGGTTTAGGGTTTAGAGTTTTGGGTTTAGGGTTTAGGGTTTGGGTTTAGGGTTTAGGGTTTAGGGTTTAGGGTTTAGGGTTTGCTCCGAACAAGAGAAGATAATGATTGTCGCTCCGGCCTCAAGAAGACTTCAGGCAGTATGGCAAGTATCCGGAGCTCCTACAGAGATGCGGAGGTTATGCTGTGGAAGCTTCAGCAACCGAGAGACTCAGAAAGCTGCGTGACATTCGGGTTGCCTTGCCACCTCTTGCCCGAGGGAGCCCGGCGTCTCAAGGAGAAGCTTGCGACACTTAGTAGCTGAATGAGGACATGTTTTACACACTTTTTGGAATAACACTAATTGTCCCGCTTACAGTATTCCTCATAGAACTGAAAGCGTACACTTTTTGAACTTATGATCTGAACAACTAAGGAAAGCTGCGAATATAAGGTCGAGCCTTTAGCAGGAAGTCCATGGAGACTGCCCTGCACCGCGCCCAAAGCCTCTGGGCACAGCTCTCTCAGGAGGGGGCCCTAAACCCAAAACCCTCCGTGGTTTAGGGTTTAGGGTTTAGGGCCCTAAACCCTAAACCCTAAACCCTAAACCAACAAAAACCCTAAACCCTACGACCACGCTTTCCAAACCCCTCAACCCAACAGGAGGATTACCCCAATGGCGCTGTGGTCTTCTGTTCGGAGTCCCTTGCCGAAGCCTTCCACCCAGCTAGGCCCCTGCCTGGCAGTGTGTACAGAGATGGGAAGGACAGGGTTTGGGGTTTAGGGTACAGAGATGGGAAGGACTGCGACACCGCCTTGTTAAGGAGTTGATGGTACTTGTTAAGGAGTTGATGGTACTTTATTGTACAGTAAGTCTTATACATATGATTTTAAAGAACATGTACTAGTCGTGAGACATTGGAATGTCTATAGCAGATTATTAGAACCCGAAGGACTTCGAGACCGCCTTGGTACATGAAGCCCTGGACCGGAGCCCCAGCTTTGGTATCGTGACCATCGACGGTGCCGAGGACTCCCTCCGGTTTGGGTTAGAGTATTAGAGTTTAGGGTTGTAGGGTTTAGGGTTTGTGGTTCAGGGTTTAGGACCTTAAAACCTACACCCTAATTGGGCCTTAAGGCTTTAGGCTTTAGGGTTGTATAGGACCCTAAACTCTGAACCCTAAACTTTAAACCGAAACCCTAGGGGTTAGGGATGTTTAGGCCTCAGGGAAGAAATTTGACGCAGGCCTCTCTGGGTTCTGCGACCTTCGGTGCCAGTCCCGGCTGCGCCGTCGCCGTGACGGCCGTGGCGCACCTCCGCGCCCACATCAAGAGCCGCACGCGCCGAGGTTTGGGATCCGATTGAAAGGGCTTCGGGTTTAGGGTGCAGAGTTTAGGGTTCAGGGTCTAGGGTTCAGGGTTTAGGGTTTAGGGTTTAGGGTTTAGGGTTTAGGGTTTAGGGTTTAGGGTTTCAAGAGCCGCACGCACCGAGCCCCTGAACCATGGAAAGTCCGTAAAACATCCTGGAAAAGACTTTCTCAACACCAAAACCATGAAAACCCTTATACTTCAAAAACCCTTACAGAATCTTGGAGACCCTGTAAACCCCCTTAGAGCAGCCTAAGAAACCCTCAGCTGTAGGTGGCCAGTCCGCCTCACGGTTCGGGAGAACCCGGGATGCCGAGGAAATGGAGTTCCTCCAGGAGCTGTGAGAGCTTCTGGGGTTTAGGGTTTAGGGTTTAGGGTTTAGGGTTTAGGGTTTAGGGTTTAGGGTTTACGGTTAAATCCACAACCCTAAGCTTACCCTAATACCTGAACCCTATACCCTAATGCCTAAACCTTAAACCCTAAACCCTAATCCCTTTCCCCTAAACCCTAAACCGTGGGGGTCCTTTGGGGTTCCTGTAAGGGATCTATAAGTTTAGGGTTTGGGGTTTTGGGGTTGGGATCTATAAGGTTTTCTTCAAGGGTTCCTGTAAGGGATCTGTAGGGCGTTGTTACAGGGGTTCTGGTAAGGCTTCAGGGTTTACCGGTTTAGGCTTTGCGGTTTAGGGTTTATGGGTATAGGTTTTATGGATTTGGGATTTATGTGTTTAGAGTGTTCGGGTTTTTCGTTTATGGGCTTAGGGCTTTATGAGTCTAGGGTTTATCGTGGTAAGGCTTGTGGGCTTAGGGTGCATGGCTTTTGGGTTTTGGGTTTTAGGGTTTACACTTTCACAGCCATCCCTGCAAGCAAGCATGATGTTGGCGGCGGTAGTGCTGATGGTGTCAGCGGTGGTCCACGTCGTCGTCATCGTTGCAGCAGCAGCAGGAGTAGGAGTAGTAGCTAGTCGTGATGGCGGCGGCGGTGGTGGTGGTGGTGGTGGTGGCGGCGGTGGTGGTCACAGCAGCGGCTGTGGTGGCGGTTGTGATAAAAGTGAATAGCATTGTATGGTAGAGTGATGCTAGCAGGTCAGGTCACACTCGTCTTCGCCGTCCGTCTTGCATCACCGCTACGGACAGCATGAACAGCTTGGCAATCATGACCACCTCCAGTGCCATCACTGTCGTCATCGGTACCGTTACCATCTCCGCAATAATGACGATTCCTTGGCATGGCAGCTAGCGACGTTTTTGAGAGTCAGAGAAACCTAGACCCTAAACACCCAAACCCTAGAAGCTCTCCAACCTGAAACCCTAAACGTCCTGAACCGCTCCCCCTTTTTTGTGCAGGAGGTGGTGGAACGTGTGCAAGCCCAGCTGGGTGGAGTTGAGCACTTCATCCTCGGGGGAAAGGTGGACAGTAAATATTTAGGGTTTAAGGCGTTTAAGGTTTAAGGTTTTAGGAATTCAGGGTTTAAAGTTTACGGTTGTAGGGCTTAGGGTTTAGGTAAACTTTGAAGGGTTGTAGGGTTTGGGGTTTCGAGGCGGTGTTTAGGGTTTGGGGGTTTGAAGGTTGCGGGTTCTGTCAACTCCAAACCCTAAGTTTAGGGTCTTGGGATCCGGGTTTACCGGATCATGGTTCAGGGTTCTACCATCGTTTCCCATGGGTACATACACAAGAAAACGCAGAAACCTTACGGGTTCTATCCCCCGTAGACCCTAAACCCTAAACCCTAAACCCTAAACCCTAAACCCTAAACTGGAAGGGCTCTATAAGATGTCATTCGGGCATGTTCGGGTCTTGTGCGAGCGACGTATCGGTGCTTTATAGGGTTTGGTTGACAGGAACCCTTCAAGGCCTTGCGGGTTTAGGGTTTGGGGTTTAGGGTTTAGGGTTTAGGGTTTAGGGTTTAGGGTTTAGGGTTTAGGGTCTGTAATAATTAGCTATACTATTCTGGCGGCTCCTTAATTATAGTAATTATAGTTTAGGATACCCCAAAACCCTATTCTGATTCTTAAGGGCCCTACATTAAGTTCCAGGCGGAGATGAAGCGGAAGCTGCTGAAGGAGCTCCCACCCGAGCTGCAAAGGCGGGTCCTGGGCGTCCTGGACCTGAGTCTTGCTCGCAGCAGGGTTAAGGGTTTAGGGTATAGGGTACAGGGTTTAGGGTTCAGGGTTTAGGGTTCAAGGTTCAGGGTTTAGGGTGCCCGTGCAGAATCTTTCTGGAATCCTAAACCCTTTGCAACCTTCCTAAACCGTCCTGACCTTCCTTGACTCCTAGACCCTAAATCCGACAAGCCGTAAACCCTAAACGCTAAAAACCCTAAACCCCAAACCCTAAACCCTAAACCCTGGAAGCCTTAATCCTGAACCCGAAAAGCACTAAATCCTAAAACGCGCTTCATCCGACGACCTTTGAAGGAACTGCGGCGCCGATCGGGACAGCCTGCGCCTCGCGGCGACGAAGGCTCCTTGTATGTGTTTCCACGGTTTCGGGTTTAGGGTTTAGGGCTTGCATGGGGCGTAAGACGTAGGTCTGTCTAAAGTTTAGGGTTTAAGATTTAGGGCTTGGGTTTGGGTTGTTGAGGTTATGTGCGCAGGCTTGATGCAGCTGTATAACGGCTTCACAGGGCTTAGCAAGGGGTGAAGGAACTGACTTGAACTTGCCGTTTTCTTTTCAAGTTGTCGCAGTTACCAGAAAAGATTTACTCTTGAGGGCTAAGATACCATAATATGAAAAGCCAATGAAAAGTTTTATGATGTTCATTTGGGCTCTATGAGGGCT